ATGCCCAAACCTCCTCCTTCATCCGGGCTTGGGACCGGCAGCAACCCCCAGAGGAGCTACAGGCGGAGTTAAATTTGTCATTATTATTATTCGTTTTTAATTCATTTAAACAGTAAATTATTCAGCTTCATGGTAATCTTAAGCCTGTTACCCCTCGTGAAGGAGCATAGGCTACACATCAGTATTCTCTATCCAACACTGTCCTGGGTAATCTTTTCCAGTTGTTATTCATCCTTTTCATATCTGCTTCTATTTCCCGACGTAATATGATCTTTGGCCAGCTTCATGGTAATTTTATATAAATTTACCATCAAAATACAAATCTTTTAGGTCTAATCCTCTAAAAGATATTTAATGTATACTATTAAGAAATCCAATACTAAGTTGAAAAAATGTATTTACTGACTATTTCTTGGATTTGAATAATTTTTTAGTCATTGTTAGTTTATGTTCGCGAGGCAGGATCGTGGATACGCACTGTTGAGGAGTTTCACAATATGACGAAATGGCCATCCAGTGCTTCTAGGTTTGCCATGATGGTCTAGCTTCAATTGACTCATGATTTCAACTATGAAGAATTATTTGTCTGTCACCTTGACTGTTTGAAATAAAGAATACAATTAAAAATGGTGATCTTTACATAAATTAATAATCTGTTTAATGAAAATTGTACTGAATTTTTAGTTAATAATAAAATTTCATTGCCTTGTTTGTCTGAATTTCTAAAGTAAAAATTTAGCATGGAAATCATTTTAAATAGAAAAAAATGTATGTAAACATTTTCAGCTTATTTTATTTGAGAAAATGTCTTATATCACTATGGACAGTTTTATGTTTTGCCAATATAGAATTCTCAGTAAGAGGTACTTCAATAAGTTTCTTTTATAGAAACAAAACAATTGAAAAGATAAATGTTAAACAAAGATCTAAAACTGTCCAACTTTTCAATTACAAACATGTTTAAGAATATAGGTTATTAACTAGGTCAACTCTAAAAACCTATTCGTCACAGAGTATATTTGTTAGATAAGGTATCATAGAACTTTAATACCTTTTCTTGTGTACATGGATTTTAGTGTATTGACGTCTCGTTCTACCAGAAAATATACAAGGAGAAGGATATGAATGAAGGGGATGGTTAGTATCTGGTGAGATAACACCTGTCACCTGGAAAAGTCTTTTCTCAGAAACCTGTGAAAGAACAGTGGGTAACAGTAATGAAAAATAGGTAATGTCCAAGAATTGAATAATTGTAAGAGTAAATATCGAGTAATCCCAAAAGCATGCAGTCTCTTTATATAGTAAGTCAGACAGAAAACTTTCTTCGATGACAATAAAACATGAGAAGATCAAGAAAGACTAGAGGAAAAGGTAACACCAAGATAGTTAATCTTTGACACTGTGTTTATTAAAGTGAGACCGTCTGCATATTTCACGAAAGTGTTTTCTGTGAAAGATAACAGATCATGCACAAAAAAGAGTGAAAAGAAGAGAGGAGAAAACAGCTCCTTGTGGCACACCTTGATTAGACGGTAGAGACGTTGAACACGTTCCTCCAATCACAGTGTACTCTTCTCTTCCAGAGAGGTGGGAATATAGCCAGCTGGTTGTTCAGCTGTCAGTGTTGACACTAACTTGTTAAGTAGGAATTGCCTTAGGATAGAATCAAAAGCAGAAGTATAGTTCACAAAAGCTCATAGAATAAACTTCTTACTCCTTTCTAAGCTGAACAGTATATTGTGATGCAGAACAGCAACTGCATCTAAGGTTCTTCTTTCGCATTTGTAAGCAAACTGATACGGATCAATATTCTTTTTTAGTGCAGGTTAGAGCGGGAGTACCAATAATTTTTCCATTGTTTTGAAGAAAGATGAAATTATTGCTATGGTTCTAAATTTCACATTCTTATCGCCAGTTACTTTATTAGGTATAGGAACTGTCTTTATCTTTCGCCACATTTTCGGTATGAGATTAGTTGAGAACGATCTGTTGAAGATACTCGTGAATAAATAACATAGGACGTTAGCACACTTTCTAAAAAGGAGGTTTGGGATTTCATCAGGTCCTAAACATTGCGACGAGTTAAGTGGCTATAGACATTTTCAGACATCAGTTCCAGTAAAAGTAGGAAGACAACTATTTTTTAAACCTGTGGACATAGGGAGCATGAAATCATATGACTGACGTACAAAAGTCTAATATAAGTCATAAACATTCAGCTGGTTATCTCATCTAATGTGTCTCTCACCTGTAAGTTCTTTAACTAGCCTCTTCATACTTGGAGGATTTTTACAAAATAACATTTTCTGAGTAAACATTGAGTTTAGATGTCTAAGCTCTAGGTTTATTAAACTATTTAGCTTATGAACTTCAATGGAGTTTTTCTCCTTCTACATTCTTTCTTTTACCCTCCGTAATTGTTTTAGTTGTGGAGGTGTCAGTCTATCAAAACTTACAAAAGTGGTTTCAGTGGAACAACCAACATCAAAACATAATTTAAGATACCAAGTGACAACATAGGTAGTGTTTTCCAACCAGTCATTTGTAAAGAATCTCCAGTTAGTCGTACGAAACATGTTTTTCAGATTTCGGAGACTTTCTTCTGGGTAATTCCTATATTTAACTTTATTTAGTTGATGTAAGAGTATACTCTTTACAAGTTTGCCATATACTTTAGGTAGAATACGAATAATACAATGATCAGAACTAGACAATAGAGCAAGTTTTTGAGTCACATATGTCCCCACATCAATAATGAGAACTAAGTCTATATAGGCACCCAAACGAGTGGGAAAATCGACTGTATTTTAGTAGCCTAGTAATGAAAGTTTGCAGTCTCATAAATTAAAATCACCACACACAACTGAAAGTGAACCACTGAAGGCAGTATCAGAGAATTCAGTGGATTCATTAGCGAAAACAGATAGTGTAAATGGTGTACAGCCCGGAGTCACGTAGATGCTGGTAACACAAACATAATTGTATTTATTCAGGTGTTTTGTTCGGTATCTTAATGTTAAACAGACATTAAAGTCGTTTGAAAACTTAAAACGTGCAAAACTTAACCGACACCAGTTCATATTTACAAACGTAGCTACACCGTCTCCAAACCTTTTCTTCTTGCTTCATCGATTCTGACGATGGACATTGAAATCTTGTAGTGATACTAAGCAACTGTCTTGTAAGTGACTTAAGCAAGATTCTTGAATTGTGATTACACCACAATTACAATACATGTTTCGACGTAGTGGGAATTGAAGATAGTTCACTTTGTTAATTGGTGACCACCATTTAGAATTTAGTAGCTCAGCAATCTACATACGATTAATGTTCATTCTCTTCAATGCGTATTGCCAACCACGAAGATGTCTCTGATTGTACTTTTTTGTAACTTGTATGGCGATAGGTCGTAAACTTTTTCATAAACGCGCCTGTATGGGTTATACGATTAACAGACATCATGTAATTATATTTTATGGAAAATAATTTTCACGATTTTAATGAGAAGACATTAAATTTATGATTCAAAAATACTTATTCTTATGTAATTGTCTAACGGATTATGTCTAAGCAATCCAACTTGTAGGCTAAGTATTCTACCGTAAATTTACACTATTTTTTAACTAGTAATCATTGAGTTAATATTTCTATTAATATTGTTTCTATAAGCAAACCTTACTTACTCTACTAAAATCCTTATAGGAAGTAATTCTTTTGGAACACTGGCTTAAAAATTGAAAAACTACTAGAAACCAAGAATTAGACTATCATTGTTTGAACATGGGAATTGATAGTTTGAAATATAGAATCAGAATGGTAAACCAAACATAAATTTAGTTAAGAAAACTTTTTGGAACCTTAACCTCAGGAAATAAATTAGTTATATTTTGATCGCATCCTCTTCCTGGTTCTCAATGACTTCAACCATGTACCTAGTCATCGTCTAAAGAATTAACTTTCACGTGAAGATCAATAAGCTATTCGGCTATTTCAAGTTGTCGAAAGTATTACGGAGAGATAATTACTCATTTCAAAATATTTCAGGTCTATCTAAAGAGTATGATATGCTGTATTTGAAAGAATCTTAGAAGGGGGTCTGCATTGTGATCTCGTACTTCATAATGGCTATTATTTCAGCAATGCACTATTGTAGTGAACGAGAACACAAGTGGGGACAATCGAATGTATTTGAATACAAAACCATAGAACATCTTAGTAAAATCTGAGAACCATACAGTAAATACTTCATTTGAAAAATGTCACTCAATCGTCTCAGACTTCATTGTCTTTTCGTTTCCACACCAATCATTCTCCGTTCTCGTTCTCTTTCTTACAACTTTCTTAACCTTCTGCCGACAGACATTTAACTTTCGATTGATGATACATACTGCTTATATCTGTCGACATCAGTAGCACACCTCACACTATTAATGATACTAACCACCCCATTTTAGACTGATACATTTAATTTGATGCTTTCTCTTCCATAAACTTTATTTCATGGATGATTTCGAATAAATTTCGTATTTTTATTTTAACCTTACTGTTAACTAACTTATATAATTCAATACTGTAGAAAATACCATTTATTATTGAGGCATTTAGTTTATGAATGAAATCAGAAAGAGAAAAATTATAACTAATTAATAGAATATAGCACTAATTATGGCGAGACTATAGTTTATGGACGAACTGATCAGGTATAAGATGACAGGTTTTGGATTTTGGCACGAAATTCACTAATCCATTTGGCTAAATACAGTTTTGGCACTATAGCTGATATCAGTTAGTGACGAAAATCTTAAATCTAATTCCTAACCTTAACCGTCATCTGTAAATCGTAATTCTAATTCCTCACACAGATTTATAACCCTCATTTGATCCTATTTATTAGGTGGACACCCTCAAAGTCAGTCTAAGGTCACTTAAAGGTCATCCATAAACTATAGTCTCACCCTAGTAACTAATTGATAATTCTTTAAAGAAAACCACTTATTTCATAAATATGTTTATTGATATATTACAAAAATGTTGTTTTTCTTTTCTCAAAATAATCTATTAACATGAAAAAACATTCAATAAACAATAATGTATATTTCCTCAAATCAAACCATAATTATTAGTGAAGGTGTATGCATTAAAATAATATGAACAGAATAATGTTGTACAAATAATCACAGTGTTTTATTTTGAATGGAATTTATACTTTTTATCATTGTATAATCCTCTTAAACAGTGACAACAGCAACAACAACAACAAGGAGAAATATACCCTTAAACAAACAATTCGAATAGTATGATACATATTCAAATGACAATGTCATTCACAGAATTGAAGATAGTATTACCAATAACTATCATTTACTATTAAAATAAATGTAAAACATGTAAGGAATTTAAATATAGAAAAAAAAACAAGACAAATTCTTAAAAAGGAATAATATATTTGTAAAATCTCAGCGAAAAGAATTCAAGCTTGGACTAGATTGCCTGGCGAAACGTTGGATTTACTTCAAATTCATTCGCTGAGATTTTACAAATACATATTATTCCTGTTTTAATGTCTCACATCAACTCGATGCCCAAATACTGTGAAATTATTCACTCTAATTTAGACGAAAGTTCTTATATAAAAAGACAAATTCTTATCATTGATGAATTTATACATGATGTTCTGAAAGAAAAATGACTTTGTTTATGATTTAATGCTTGTTCAAAAGAAGAAAAATAAAATGAAGAATTGAATCTTGAATAATGAAATCAATGTTTAAAATGGATGATATGTTAATTCATCATTAGTTTTTAATAATTCATAATTAATTTCATAAATATTTTGTAAATTAATTGTTATGGGTGGTGGAGTTGACAACATATTATTACGATCATTCAATGAAGAAACAAAAGATGATGAAGATAATGGAAGTTGTGATGAAAGTACTGGTGGTGATGATGATGATGACGATGAAGATGGTGATAATAATTTCTCTTGTTCTTTATTATATGTTTCATTTATTACTTCAGATAAATAATAGTCTTGTCTATCTGACCAAATATCAATTTCATTGCATACATTAGGCGATGATAATAAAGAATGTTCTAAATCATATTGATGATAGTTTGAAAGATTTGATGAATAATTCAGTGTGTGATGGTTTTCCGAACTTGTACAATGTAACATGGGTAACTGTTGTTCTTGTTCTCTTTGTATTGTAAGATTATCGAACCAGTCAATATGAGATGTTAAAGATTCATTGATTGCGGATACGGAATTTGCTGGTAATAGACTGTCTGTTTTAGACCAATTACTGTTGTCACTTAATTTATCTGTGAAATTATTTTGACTTCCATATACATACATTAAGAAATCTTTGCCATTTTCATTATAGTGTTGATTTGGTGTGATAATGTTGCTATTGTTTATGTTCTGTTTAGAACACATTCCTTCATCATTTAAGAATACACTAACACATCCATACTTATTAGGTAATTGAACTTGTTGATTATCGTTACCATTAGTAACTACAGTAGAACTGGGAGTTTCATGGATTTGTTTATAATTATTATTCTTATTTTCTCCTTCCAATATATCATTATGCTTAAGTTTAACTCCGAATTTTTCTTCGTTAGTAGGTATACATTCTGTATTATTATCTGTCTGCTGATTATTAAAATGATTTGAAGGGAAACAAAATTGACTATTGGATGTGCCAAGTTTATACGGTGTACTTAAAGAATTATCCGTAAGTTGTCTCAATTGACCAAATGATTTATCATCTGTATTGGTTTTGGCTGTCGTTGTAGAGCTAATAGGTTGTTGATTTGAGTGCTCTTCACCGGGAAATGCTAGAGAAAATAACAGTTCTGGTTCATAAACAAATCGATAAACATATCTTTCACCAGATACTTTCTGCATTATACCTTTTTCGTAATAGTACCTTAACGATCTACTCAGTTTATCATAATTCATAGCAGGGCGATTTTTCTGAATACCCCATAAACGAGCAACCTTGTTTTAAAGAAGAGAAAAGGATTCATCATTTCATACGAAATCCATGGTTAAACTTTGATAATTGTATAGGACAATAACTAAAATATCTGTAGTTTTATTTATAAACTGATAATTTATATGAAAATATTTTCTAAAATTCAAAACCATGAGTTTCTAAGAGGCTTCTTCATGCTGCTAATAATGATTGCGGAAGTCTAAAACCTTGTGTTTTCTTTGGCGAATATAAAGTGTTTGCTAATTAAGATCTACTTGTTTAAATACGTGTTTAACTTATCAGAAGCTCAGTTAGGGCTTTCAAAAGGACTAATATACTTCCATAGAAATAAGATGGATTCTAAAATATCATCGATTTTAAACTCTCACTAAAAATTCCTTATAAACTTCTCGTTGGTATTTAAATTAAATAAATATTAAAGCTAAAAATATTGTAATTTTCGAAACCTGTCTGCCACTATTTAGTTAGATATACCTATATTTAATATCCTGATGTTTATCAATAACCTGTTGATTACTGAACCGCGGTTAACATCGAAAAATGAAACTGATTATCACCTAACTTACAATATGAAATCGATTACAACCGAAATATTTTGATTATCTTGTCTCTCAGTGAAGTATAAGATTCCACTAGGTTTCAATTACATATTTCTGGAACATATCAACAACACATGTAAACATATTTCGATTACTTTGTTATGATTTTCTTCAAGTATATCTCTTTTTAATTTCTATACTAAAAACTATAATAAAATAAAAACCCATTTCTTTATTCAGCTTAGAAACATACGTAATCATTTACCAGTTATTTAGTTTATGTAATATTCTAGAATTTTCATGAAAACCCAAGGACTTTTAAAATACTATAAAAACCCTATATTTTCTGTACATAAATGAACCTTTGGAGTAAAGTACTTTTCGCATACTTTGCACCTTTTCTCTCGTGTTCAAATCGCTGTATAGTTCTAGCTTGGGGGTTACAAGACTAGCTTAGGATCCAAGTATAGCGTTCAGTCAGTGAGATGTATCAGTAACGAGATAATGTTAATCATAAACACATGTAAGTAAATCGTTATATTACTAATTAATTTCAATTTCATTTATCATTTTAATGATGAATTTTCATATTAGAATATAATAATAAAATGATTAAAATTATAACAGGTCATTCATTGTAATTTAACAAAAACACATAAATATGGAAAAGATTTGTGTTGTTCCTCTCTCTCTTTCTCTCTCTCCTTCTCCTTCTTTCTCTCTTTCTCTATCATCCAGGGTATAAAAATTTGATTATTTTTTTTAAATTGAGGAAATATTTTAATAAACAGAAAGGAAACTATGATAATCTTTTCCTTTTTAAACATGTTTAAGCATGAAATTTAATTGTAAAATGCCTTTCTATAAAAAAAAGAAAGTTCTTCGTGTGTATATTCTAAAAAGTATTTTTATTAAAAATCATGATTCATTGTATTGTACACGTGAACTATATCATTTATAATAGTCTTATTAAGTCTTCTTGATATCCATTTTATCACCTTGATAGTATGAACTATTAGATTAATGTATATGTAGTTGATCTAACTTTGTATATTTTGCTCCTGTGTAATTTTACCTTGAGAGTTATACTTAGTGGAACAAAATAAAGTATATATACCATATTCCATACAAATAATTATACTAAATATTAATGAATTGAATCAAATTTATCAGTTAGGAATAAATAGTAATTATTTAAAAGTAAAATGATTGTCTAATCAACATTCATAGCTTTCAGTTTGTATGATAAAGCACTGATCAATTCATCAGAGATCAATACTTCACATTAACCTATATATATATATATATATATATATATATATATATATACATATCAACTTGTGTGTGCTACTTATATAAACATAAATAGTATATAACGCTAGTCAGGATTACAATGTCTGGCAGCAAGAGATCAAGAAGATCGAGGAGGAAAGAACGAGAACAGAAAGCAGTTGGTATAGAAATGTAGGAACAACGAAGTTTAAGACGATTGGCTGATATTTGCAAAAGGAATAGTCAAGTTTGAGACAATTGATTGACATTTTGCGAATGAAGTATTTACTGTAAGATTCTCAGATTTTACTAAGATATTCTGTAATTTTGTGTTCAAATACATTTGATTGTGCCCACTTGTTTTCTCGTTCACTACAGCAAATGGAAATGATCAATGCCATCTCATTGAAAATAATGTCTCAAACATTATCATAAGTATCATACATTATATTCATTATTAGATAGTAGATGTGTATTATAAATTAAATGAAAATGAAAATTATTACCTAACTTATATATTGTGAAAATTTACCTCTTCAGGATCATTCAATTTAAATTCTAATTTTCTTCCTGTCCAACATATTAAATGTTGACTTTCTTTATCATCTAATAAAGCAATTAAAAATTGCCATAATTGCAATGATCCTCGACGATGAAGATTAGCTAAAGCTGCAGAAGCAGCAGCCATTAAGTTTCCACCATTATTATTATTATCATTATTATCAAAATTCGTCATTGGTATTGACGATTTCTCCATCAATGATCGCCTTATTAAATTATCATTCAGTACATTTGTTCGATAAGGTTTCAATAAATTTTTCTCATTTAATTTCATTTCATTATGATTAGTTAAATAATTTTCTGTACAAGTTTTTGATGATGATGATGATAATGATGATGATGATGATGATGGGAGTAATAATTCATCGTTTGATATCGTCGTAAAATTATTGAATGGCCATTTAGTGGATGATTCATTAGATGTATTGTCTAATTTAGAATTCATTGATAGTAATGGAGAAAAAGTAAACCAACTTGAATTCTTTGTATCTAAAGTTTAAAAAGGAAATAGGTAGATTATATATATATTTATGAGTTTCCAGCAAACTTTATATTCTCGTACTGTGATATACGTATGACGACATTTACCGATACAAGTTACCATTGAGCTGACTATCGTAGTTCTGACGTTGGAGTATCGTGGAGGTTCGTTTAATTATTAGGTGGTATATATATATATATATATATATATATATATATATATATATAACGACGAATATACTTTCAATTTCCATAGATAATATATAGTTTATTCAATTGCAATATTCAAAGTGTTACCAAGCAAAACTTGCAAATTTAGGTGCTCAGAGTTTTCTTCTGCAAATATGAAGTGCTTTTGGTTCTAGCAGTCATGGTTTTTAATTCAAGTCGGGGGGTGGGTGACAACTTAATCATGATGATCAATAATACTCGTTGAAAATTCGCTTTAGGTTGTTGAATATAAATTATGGTTAATTCAATCACAATATAACTTAAGATATTTAAGTCAAACTGCGAAGTTATAAGCCAGTACTTCTGAAAATTCCAAGAAACAATGCCAGTATTAATACTACTCTTTTCTCATTTGAGTAACGTATTACTGAAAGACTATGTTAGATACTTTAAAACATCTGTGTTTTCCCTATTACACTGTATGTACAATGTACTCACATCTTAGGCACTAAACAAACGAAAATACTAATAAGAACACTGCTAAATTGTACATTAAGTTAATGATATAAATAATTCAGTCCATTTTAGTTAGTCCTTTTTCGAAAAAACTCATTATCGTTTAGTTGGTTAGTTGTATAGCATTCCGTCATAAAAATATGTTGCCAAGTCATTGAAAGATAGTTAAAATTCACTTGAATCTGTTAAATAAGCCGGTGACTTGTGATCTAGCCGAACATCCTGTATACATTACCCAGATTTTGGGTTATTTGAGGATTGGTGTATTCCAGTCAAAAGTTGACCGTAAAAAGTCTGACTGAATGAATAATTTATTCACTATTTTTACTTAAAAAATATTTCCATATAATACAAGCTTATGACATTTCTGAGATTTGATTGTATTTAATGTAAGTAAATTTAATTTACACCTAACTTACCTTCAATAAATGTATTCGAGTTATGATTACTTTTTTCCGGTACCATACATTCTGGATAATCATAAATTTTTGTTGATTGAATTGAATAATCTGTTGTAATCTTTCTTGACTTGTCTCCATTTATATCTAAAGAGTGAATTTCACAAATTGACGGATAATTTGGTGTACAACCACATATTTTATGAGGAAGAAATCCATTAACTTCTCTAGTTTGATAATAATTCAAAGAATCAATTTCACTATGTGAAATTTGTTCGTTTTTTTGTAATTCGCAATAGCAAGACCTAAAGTTATGTAATATAGGATAGGTTTGATTTTGATGGATGGAATGATTATGAGCATATACACATATAAATGAAACAGAATACTACTTGGCAGAACTCTGTGTACGGTAGACTATCTGACATATTGAATGACTTAAAGTGTAATGAAATTAAATGACTTCAAATTATCAGAAGGGGGTTTTGTGAAGATTTTAGAAGTTTTATATATTTGAAATCATGAGTCAATTGAAGCTAGATCACCATGGAAAACCTGGAAGCACTGGACGGCCGTTTCGTCATATTGTGGGACACCTTAACAGTGTGCATCCACGATCCCGCCTCAAGAGATTCCAACCCAGGACCTATCAGTCTCGTGCGCAAGCGCTTAACCACTAGATCACTGAGCCGGTATCCAACAGTGTTAATGTCTAACTTCAACCAATCCAGGATTTCAACCATATAAAATTACTAAAACCTTCACAAAACCCCCTTCTGATCATATGCTCACTAGTGACTGGCTACATTAGGTATTTCCTGGAGTTCTAGTGAGAAGCAGTAAGCAGTGGAGTTCAACCAGGTCTGTAGGGAGATATCAACTCGCTGAAGACATTGGTGAATGATTGCTCAACTTCGTGGACTTAAAATTACTTTTTTTTTAAATTGACCAATCATATTTCAGTGTCTTTTTGTCAACTATAAGCTTTAAGATATTAGATATGTCAGATACACATTGTTTGTTATCCTTGATTCTTTCTCTTTAAATTAATATGAATAAAAGTATCAAGTTAGAGAAAGTTTCACCCAGTTCACAGATTATTGTGTTTCAAGTTATTAACGAGCATAATAAAGAAGAAATTAATGCAACACTAGTTCTAAAATATTTTCATTCAACACTGTATCATTTTGTTATTCCTTATTGTTTGCTTCATTTTCCAAAATTGTTTTTACGGGACAAGCTTACATAACAGTAATAAATAATATAGTGACTTTTTAAGTTTAGTTATCCCTAGAGGGAATGAACAACTGGAGGTTCAATTCATAGACCAAATATAATTTTGAGACGGTGAAGAAGATTTGTAGCTCAGGTGGATGATTTTGATGGAGTTTTGATCTCTGAGCTGGACGGTTTGGTCATGGAGCTTTCATCGTCCTTCTGAACGACAATGAAAACTCCACAACCAAACCATCCAGCTCAGAGGACTAAATATAGTTTGAAAATTTCCCAACCACTGTTTTCAGAATCAGATGATTGGAGATAACAATGATAGACACTTGAAATTTAGATATACCATTTAGATTAATTTATAAAATTATTAAACTTGTATATACTATGAATATTACTTTCTGAATACAAATATGTTTGAAAAAAATCTCATTTGTTAAGGGATTATTGACAATTTGAAACATGTAACCATAAAAAGATCCTCTGTTCATATGACCGAATTGTAATTATCACTATGAACAATTGAAATTAATGACAAAATTGATCACAAAATAGAAACCATACTGAATTCCCTGAAAGTTAATAAACTCCGATACAAATGGTGTATATATGTCCTACCTGATTAATCAGAGTTGAAAACTATCATGTTCCCTTGTTTCCAGTGTTGGTTATATTCTGTAAGGCAACACACTAGATGATACAGTTTCGAAATACTCGAAAAATATCAGTTCTCATGAGATTACAGATACATACTGTTGACCAACACCAGTTGGCAAAACCCAAGTTCAAAGTTACCATTCCTGTGGAAAAATCTTGTACTAAACACCAACAACGATTTCGAGCAGATTTCAATGAATAATGTTTTTTTACTGAGAATCGTGTCAATTTCTTGGCTAGATTGTTTATATTCTTGTTTTACATATCTTTAAATATTTAGCACAATTTTCGTGTTCAATGAGTTCAATAAATATTCTTTCTAAACAAATAGTTTATTAGTTAGTTATAACAAACAAGACCTAACTATGACGCAACCATACATTTCTAGAATCATTTATTTGAAACAATCAATTAATTAGAAATATATCAATAGATTACATGTGGAAATCTTCATCCTCAAAAGATATTCACAATGATATTATTGAATCATTTATTATTATAACTAACATATTTATAAATATACTTCAATTGTAGATATTGTGTTTAAGAATGACTTCATGTTCTAATTGTTTATTATCAAATAACGGAAGAAAAAAGAAAAACAAAAATAAATGACAAAACTTGTATTTTCATAGTTGAAAGCATGAGTCAATTGAAGCTAGACGACCAAGGAAAACCTGGAAGCACTGAACTGGTCTGGTTTCAGTTAGCCTATGCTTTCAACTATGAAAACACTGAAATCTCCACAAAACCCTTTCTGATAAAAACTTGTATCATTTTTCAATGTACATTACTTTTATGAATCCAATATTCATGGTTTTAACATGAATTTTATACAAATCAACAAGAAATATGATCAGTAATAAATCATTATAATGTCCCATTTTTATAAAATAATTATCAATATAACCATTATAGTTGGCATGTGTAACATGATAGATTTGATATTTTACATATATATATAATAAAGAAGAATATTTTAAGTGTTTGGTTAATAATACAAGAGAAGTATACGTAATATAACACACACACACACAGAGGTAGGGAAAAGTAAGTCAGTAAGATCGCTTAATTATCTTTGTAATCGATCTTTTGATTATGGTTGTATATGATTCCCTATTATCAGTGATCATCCTATCTCCCATCTTGTTAATAACATAAAAATTAATAAACATTCTTAGTAAATTTTTGTTGAAATGTTAGCGTTTAATAAATGTTATGTATATATATAGCCTTTTAGGTGAAGCGTGGAATTTGACTCTAATAGTAATGATTCATTATGACATAATATTTAGCAACATATACATATACAGACATAGAAAACATGTTAGTATATTCTGTATACAACCGTTCTTATTGTTAAGTAAGAGTATATTCAAATTAATCTTGATATTAGATTTATCTTATGTGTTCCATTACATATCAGTCATTCATATAGAAAAGACAAATATATATTATTCATGTGTGGTTTATCCGTAAGTTATTTTTAACTTAAACATAGATCCAAACCGTCACAATCAACCGGTTTAAATAGTAGTATAACTAAAAAGCAATAAATAATGAAGGTTTCTCATCTCTTTGTTTAAATGATTCGATATATATTACTTTCATATCATAAAATCATGTTAACGGAAAAGGGTACGAGTTTCGAATATTTTATAAGTTTCTTTAGAATATTAATTAATAGGTTTTAAGAGCATGTTTATTGAATACATGTTAATTCTTAGATTTAGTGTAAACTTCTGTATACAAATGATTGGAAGAATGAGAATAATATAAGAATAATTTATACGACTGAAATATTTTCTAGTAGTCAATGAATCATTTATTCGTTTATAAACAATAACTGAATAGTAAGCAAAGATGGACAGTGGCTAGCAGTGGAATCCGGACGCTCGTTTCGTCCTATCCGGGACTTGGCGACTGGATGTATCTGCATCTCAGAGTTGATGTTCACTCTGGGACTTGAACCCAGTATATTTCGCTTCAAACGCCATCGTGTTATCCACTTAGCTATTGAGTCCTGATAGCCACTTGCTTGTGCAATATCTGAATGGATAAAAATTATTAAGATTTTCATTTATTCACTTTGGTAACTTTATAATTACATTAAGTTTGTTAATCATTGGATTATAGAATCAAATGAACAAATTCGTAATGTCGTACAATGATGTCCGTGTTACTATTTTAAAGTAAACTATTCAAACTTTCATCAAATGTAAACAGTAAATAAATCAAATCATTTTTTTAAAATTAGGGACTTATGTACTGATATGATCTGAGATTTAAGTATATTAATCACCTGTTCTAAATGAACTAGATAAGATAGTTTTCGGATATAAGACAATGACTTAAAGTTGAGTGATATAGGTCTACGTTCACTAATTGTGATGCGACATGATGTAAGGATTAAGGATTTTGGCTATCACATTTGATAGCTTTCAAGTGGAACGAGTAACTCGAACTGATCACTTGATGTAAAGTGATTAATTAATGACATAATCTGATTCGTTCGATTATTTTTTTGAAACATCAGTTTACATACACTCACCTTGGTGAATAAGCGAACGAGTTTTAGAATAAATATTAAATTTCTCATATCCAAATATCTATATATCTGGGTGATCTGTGCTCTTGAAAAAGATTCTACACAAAAGTTGCAAAACCCTACAGGTATACTACTGTGAGATTACAGGATATGTGATTATTCATTTTTGTATGTAAGTCATCTATTGACTGGTAAATACAAACATCCAAGATGGAGGAAGATGAGAGTTAGTGAGAAGTCAACTGTCTGACCTCAAGACTAATTATATGAACAATATCAATCTAAACTTTTCCAATACTCGAGAAGAAGAAAAATATCAATTTGAATAAATGAGTATTATTATTAAAGTTGGGTATCAGTAAGTAAAATCGAGGTTAAAACAAAAAGGGTTTAATAAACAGTCGCAAGAAATAATCATCACGAACACTCCGGTTGGCAAAATCAATGAAGACACAATCTTCTATACAAGCCACAGTTTTCATTGATTTGAAAATAAACATCCTAGTCAATGTATATTGATTAAGTCATCACTATAGACAACGCTAGCGAATGTCTAAGGTTATCAGTTGTGGTTAGATTAAAATGAGCTGAAAAATAAAGTGTTCCGCATATCCCTAAAAATGGCGAACATATAAACCAATCCTATAGTGATTGAAGTGAACGATAAGAATGCAGATCCACAAATTGCCATAATTATTACCATAAAAGCTCTCTAATCGGGAACTGAATACAAATAATTCTAATGAAAAAAGATCCTCAAATTATTGTACTAGAAACTCACTGGAAACGAAGTATTGGAAACAGTCAATAATGTTATATAAGAATGAAGTTTAACACAATAAAATCAACTCTTCATTAGTTTGAGTGCCTTTC